TTTTAATTTTGCTCAAGGGAACATTTGAATATAAAAATTCTTTCTGCAATATTTTAGCAGATTGTAACAATCCTGTGTCCTGAACAGGGGCTGGGAGGGAAAAGGTGATACATGGGGCGGTGTAACCCTGCTGTGGCCAGTACACAGGAGCTTGGGCTCCTCACAGCCTGGGGCACAGATGTAGAGCATGCAGCCCAGAGTGGAGCTCATTCACCACCACCACCCCCCATCCTCCAAAGCCAGAGCATCCTCTGAAATAAAACCACTTTTTGTAAACAAAGCAACTACTTCTGCTTTTCTGCATATGAAGAAGTGCCTCCATCCCACAAGGTCTTAGCCACAGTCTGCTATATGACCACAGTGGAGCAGAACAGGACTGGGTTCCTGGACTGCTGCTGCCCAGCTGCCTGCATGGCCCAGAGCGTGGTCTATGCTGATTTGAAGTTTGATGAGCCCCTGCTCACTTCCCCTACCTGCCCTGAGGTTCCCGGGCACCAAGAGAGTGCTGGGCTTGGGACAGGTGTCTCTCCTCTGGACTTGCTCCAACAGGTCCATGTCCTTCCTGTGCTGGGGACCCCAGAGCTGGATGCAGTGCTCCAGGTGGGGTCTCACCAGAGCAGAGCTGAGAGGCAGAATCCCCTCCCTCACCTGCTTTCCACCCTGCTTTGGATGCAGCCCAGGACAGGATTGGTTTTTGGGCTGTGAGTGCACATGGCCAGGTCATGTCCAGCCTCTCACCCACCAGCACCCCCAAGTCCTTCTCAGCAGGGCTGCTCTTGATCTGTTCATCCCCCAGCCTGTGTTGGTACCGGGGGTTACCCTGACCCAAGTGCAGCACCTTGCACTTGGTCTTGTTAAACCTCATGATGTTCCCATGGGCCTACTCCTTGACCTTGTCCAGGTCCCTCTGGATGGCATCAGGTGCCTCAGATGTATCAACCACAGCTCTCAGCTGGGTGTCATCTGCAAGCTCACTGAGGGTGCACTAGATCCCCCTATTCACATCTTTGATGGAAGCATTAAGTAGCATTGGTGCCAATATGGATCCCCAAGGGACACCACTGGTCACCAATGTCCACATCAGGACACAGAGCCATTGACCACTATCTTCTGGATGCGACTGTCCTGCCAATTCCTTATCCACCAAACAGTCCACCCATTGAATCCATTTCTCTCCAATTTAGAGGGAGACTGTGTCAAAAGCTTTACAGAAGTCGAGATATAAGACATTTGTAGCCCTTCCCTTGTTCACTGATGAAATCACTCCATTGTAGAAGGCCACTAGGTTGGTTAGGCAGGACTTTACCTTGATGAAACCATGTTGGCTGTCTCAAACCCAGCTTAGCAAAATGGTTCCCAACACCTCCTACTCTCTGCAGAAACACTTGAGTCAGCAGGGTCAGTGCTGCACCTGGACTCCCCCTCCCCACCCCACCTGGATCCTGGACAGGGCTTTCTTATCACCCTGCTTGGCAGTTCAGGTTCCACCATGGTCTTAGGGACCTTCCCCTCATGGTGCCAGGGTCCCCTTTTTCTAGCATTCCCAAGTCTCCTCAGTACTTCCCTCTCTCTTCCACTGTCTTAAGGCTCATAGCTGCAACCCCATTTCCTCAGGGCCTCTTCCATTTGCCTTCCATGATCTCAGGCATCTTCACTGAACCTCCATTTCCTCCCATGGTCTCAGGGCTCTTCACTGCACCTTTTTTTCTCCCATGGTTTTAGGGTTTTCTTATTCAACTTCAATGTTCTCAAGGCTCCCCAGAGCTTCCCCATCTCCCATATGGTCTCATGGCTTCCCAGCATTTTCTCATGCTGATGGCACCACTGCCTGTGCTCTTCCCAGGCAAGACCCAGCCCAAAGCCCTGGGCAGGTGATGGAGGCAGGAAAAAGGGCAGGATGAGAGCTATTAATGCCAAGAGAAGAGACAGGCTGTAAATCCACAGAAGTCCCCAAAATGGACAGACTGAGGGATACCAATGTGTCATCCCACAGCTCCAAGAAAATGCAAATGGCAGATCCTGCACGGTTCTCCCCTGGCAGTCTTGGGGGAGCACAGAAAGTGGGAGCTGGGTTTTACACTGGAGACCTGGATCACTGCAGGGTGTGCTGGCCAGGGCACACAGAAACACACAGAGACACAGTGCAAGGTGGTATGATAAGTGTATGCATGAGTGTAAGAGAGCGAAATAAGGTCTCTTTTCTAGCCTTTAAAATACAGACCCTCTTTCCTAGTGCTTTGTAATGCAGTTGAGGCAATGCATGCACAGGGGACAGAGTCTTGGGGTGCATCCCCAGCTCCTGTCCCCAAGTCCAGAGATGGAGTAGAGTGTCAGCAGTCAGATCTTGGCCAGGAGAGGAGGTTGGGCCTCAGATGTGCTGCTCAACTTCGGGGATTTCTCGCAGATCCACTGAAAGGAAGACCAGCACGATGCATACCTGATTTTCCCATTTTCTATTGCCCTGCAGATTGTATTCCTAGGAAAGAGGGCACATCTCAGAGTAGCAGTGACAACATCCTTGCTATGGACACCACTTCCCATAGCTCTCAGTGCCGCTGGGGCAGGCAGGGTGCCTGGCACTGGGACCAGTCTGAGGAAGGGTTGCATTCCTCCTCCCAGTTTTCTGCTCTGCCACTTGGAAATCTGGCAGTACACCCCACAGCTGAGCTCTGCCCTGACCCCCTTCCCTTGGGGGACTATCATCCCCTTTGCTGGGGGATGTAACAGGGTCAAATCAGTACCTTTCTGGTGTGGGAAAAGGGCAGGTGCTTGTGCCCAGCATTCTCGTACTTACCAGGTTTGACTTCTGTCCTGCCATTCAGAAGTTGCCTTTGTGTTATAATAAGTGCTTGGTCCAATCCAGTAGTTTTCAGTAGACTCCTGCACAAAATGCTGGAAGAAGAGAAGCTGTCAGCCACCTGCTTCATGACTAGCACTTGCCTGGTGCCCAGGAGCGCCAGGGTCGGCTGTGCTCTTCCTCCCAGACTTCTGGAATGGAAACCTGGGGCTCATGGTGCTACCCCAGCACCTCCACAGATACTGCTGCAGCTGTCCCGCTGGGACTCTGCCCAGTCCCACCCTCCTAGGGTACCACAATACCCCTGCTCTGTACCGGTACTGTCAATGATAGCAAGCTATCTTGGATGAGCAGTTCAGCGGATTTTGCTTTGCAGTCATCCTTGCTTCTCTGCCAGGTCTTCTTCTGCACAGAGATGAAGAGACACTTGCTCCTGTAGAGCACCCAGCCTGAGGGGCAGCAGTCTGGGGACAGGGGCACAGGTCAGACACTTATCCTCCCACAGATGCTCGAGGGGGCCAGCCTGGCAGAGATCAAACCCTGCATCTGCCCAAGAGCAACATTGCCTCTGCCCCCGCCCCATCACAACTCTACCTGTATTCACACAGGCACGCAGGCTGCTCACGGTGCTCTCGCTGTTGTTGAGCTTCCCCTGCACCTCCTGCATCTCCTTCTCCGTCTTGCCCAGGACCCCCCTGACGTGCCCCAGCTCGACGCTCATTCTATCCAGCTCCAGCTGGCTGATGTTGCCCTCGTGCCATGCTCGCTGCAGCTCCTCTCTGGCCCACGCCAGCTCCAGCTCTGCCTGCTCCAGGCTCTGCTCCTGAGTGCTCAGCTCCTGTGACAGGCGGCCCTGCTCGGCTGCATAGTTGCGGGAGGTGTCCTGCAGACTGCGGGTGATCTGCCAGTCTGGGGGTAGGGCAGTGAGCTGAGGCATGGGCATGGGACAGCTGGGCCATGGGACTTGCAAGGGAGAATGGGATAGGAGTGCCTGTCTGTGGGTAGAGATTGTCCTGGGGGTTTCAATGAGAAGGGAAAGGAAGTCCCAATGGTGGCAGGTGGAGGGGAGACAATGGCAGGCAGTAGGAGGCAGTGGGAGACAGTGGGAAGGCAAGGGGAGGCAATGAGAAGGCTAGTGGGAGGTAGTGGAAGGCATTGGAAAGACAATAGGAAGTGGTGGGAAGGCAATAGGAAGGCAGTGAGAGGGAGTGGGAGGCAGTGGGAGGGAGTAGGAGGCAGTGTGAAGGCAGTGAGAGGCTGTGGGAGGCAATAAGAAGGCAAAGAGAGTGAGTGAGAGACAATGGGAAGGCAGCAGGAGGTAGTGGGAATGCAATGGGAGGCAGTGGGAAGGCAGTAGGAAGGCACTGGGAAGACAGTGGGAGGCAATGGGAAGCAGTAACAGGGAGTGGGAGGGAGTGGGAAGCTGTGGGAGGCAATGGCAGGCAATGGGAAGTAGTGGGAAGACAGTGGGAGGAAATGGGAAGCAGTGACAGGGAGTGGGAGGCAGTGGGAAGGATTGGGAGGTAGTGGTAAGACAGGGGCAAGGCAATGGGAGGCAGTGGGAAGGCAGTGGCAGGCAATGGGAGGGAGTAGAAGGGAGTGGGAAGGTAGTGGGAGGCAGCTCATGTAGCCGTGAAAGAGGAAGCAACTAGTCCTGGACCCCCAGCCTCAGGCACCCCTCATCCCTGACAAACCCCCTGCAGCTCGTCGCTGGCCCAGCCCAACACCCCCTCTCACTACTCCCCACCCCACAGCCATCCCCCTGACTCACAGCAAGCCCCCAGGGCCACGATGGCCACCACCAGCAGCAGGAGCAGGACCAGGCTGGCTGGCAGCAGTGCTTTGGGGATGTGCCATCGCTGGGGCGAGCGCTCTGCAAAAGACAAGCACCCACGGGCATCATCCCTGCCATCACCCGATGCCCACCCTGCGCTGGGGCATCCCCACGGCAGTGGCTGTGTCTGGGTTCCCACCTGGACTGGGCGCTGCTGTCACCGGCCCTGGCAGCACGTTCTCATAGGGGCTGTCGTCTTCATCAGGGACAGTGGATGGAGACCCCTCAGCAAATTTCAGGTCAGCATAGACCACGTTGTGAGCCATGCCCAGGCCACCCCAATGGCCCCGAGGGCGCTGCTTCTGCTGCAGAGAAAAAGTACAGCTGGTTTGTGCAGAAGCAGAAGTGTATGAAGGTGTGGCAGATGGGAAAGTACAGCCACGACACTGGTGCCCTGCCATTGGCCCAGCAACACCATCCTGTTTCATTCCACCCCCGGAAACTGCTAAGGGGTCCCCTGGGATGGCAGTGGAGGGGGCAGTGCAGCTCGGGGCTGGGGCACTGGGCAGAGCTGCAGGCCTTGCCTATGGAGAATTGACTTAATTCCCTAGGGCAGGGCTGGCTTACAGGAGGGAAGAGGTGGCTTTGGTGCTGACTCCATCCAGGATGGAGTTTCCCTCTTCTTTGTGCTCTGCTCCAGAATTGGAGCATCGCTGCTGTGCGGAAATGTTTGCCTTAATGCCTAAAAGGGATTTCCACATTGCAGCATGAGCTTTCACTTCTCCTCTCATTATGGTCACATGCCCCCACTCTGTCAGCAAGAACACCATGGAAAATCATGTCTCAGACCTTGAAGTGTCATGATAAATGGTCTCATTACTCTTCCATTGTACCCAGCTCGGTGGTCCCAAGCAGTAGCAGGAATATTGGGCAGTCACCCGATACATCCCACTGGCCTTTCCCCAGCATGTCATCCCTGGGCCTGGGCACCAGCATGCCCAAGAGGATATGGTCCATTTTCTTCCAGGAGACTGACTGGAGGCTGTCCTTAGCTTTCCAAACCTCCTTCCTGTCCCTTTTGAAGCTGGCTGTCATTTCTGCCTTTCTCCACTGATGAAGGACTTGCCTTGCTCTTGCAGAGGTGATGGGCAGTGGCCTTTGTATCAGTTTGGCCTGGCTCTCCCGCCAAGTCCAAGCTGTCTCCTCCCCCTTCTCGCTCTCCCCAGGCAAGGAAAAAAAAAATGAACCACAGAAAAAAAACCTGAAAGAAGTCCGAACGAAAGGGGATTATATAAAATATATATATATATTACATATATTTGCAATTATATATACAGTTTGAATATATTATACACAATAGGGAGCTCCCGAGGGGGAAAAAGGGAAAAGGGAGGGGGAAACAAGGATGAAAAAAACCTAAAAACAAATATCCTCCAAATATACCCATTAATAGAGAGCTAGCGAATAAATACAAAAACCAATTAAATACTTGTCTGAATGAGACAGCAGAACTAACTCCCCATGCCTCTCAAATGAAATGGAGATAATGGCAGGTCTGAGCAGCAGGCCCTGGCCTATACAAGCAAAGCCCGTCTATGGAGAGACCTGTCTCCTTCAGCCACCGGAAGAGAGAAGAGAGTGAACTGTCTAATCTGTGCCTTTTTATATGTTGTGTTACGGAAAGGGATGATACGGAATACTTCCTTAGATTTCTGACCCCGTTGCTAAGGAAGGCCTAAAAAATCCACAAAACCAACCCACTACAGCCTTGTAACGCTGTGCTCCAACAGCACCACTGTGCACCTCCAGTCCTGTTCCAGGGACTGGCTGCCTCCAGACGTGCCCAACTGGCCCCCAACTCAGCGTCCATTTTGAAACCTGTCTGTCTCTGGATGAAGTTCAGTAGAGATCTCTGAGATGCTGAGAGGCTGGAGGGACCAAGAAGGAGGTTCTGTGGGTTCTGGGGTTGTGGTCTTAGGCAGGGAAGGCAAAGTGGATGTCATTGCTCTATGCAACTGTCTGGGAGAGGTTTGGAGCAATGCCAAAGCTTACTTCTTCTAGGAGGGGAACAGGAAGAGGATGAGAGGCAGTGGCACACGCTACATAGTGGGGAAATTCCCATTCTCAGAGGCTGGGAGAGAAAATCTGAATCTGTGAAGACCTCCAACCCTCCACAGAGCTGTCCACAGGGCAATGTGCTCCTGTGTTGAGGATTTCCCTGCTCTCCCCTTGCTCTCCCTTGACCCAAGGATTTGGATCCTTACTCTGCCACAGCCGTGACCTCAGGCTGTGCTGCCCTGGCCCTGCTGTGTGCCCAGGGGGACCACAAGGACTTCTGGAGCGTGGGAGGGGAGGGGCTGATATTTCTGGGACCAATGAGAGGGTGCTGATACCTGCGGCTGTGCTTCAGTGGTCCCATCTGCTACAACGCAGAGCAAACTTCTGCTTCTGCAGATGCTGGCTGCACTTCTCCTTTGCACCTCCGAGACACAGTGCAATCACCAGGAGCAGGACCATCCCAGAAAGGCACCCCAAGGGCAGAGCGGGAGCCTGAACAGCTCAGGGCTTGCCCAGCACTTGCCCACATGGCCCAGAGCATGGTTTATGCTGACCTGAGGTTTGCCAAAGTGACAGGAGGCCGGAGCATGGCCAGCCAGGCACTGGAGGCAGGTGAGAGCCCACAGACCGTGCCACTCTGCCTCTGCCATCCCCAACCCCATGGACTCAGCCTCTCTCCCCTGCCTTTCTCCCACAGCCCTTGGCATGGATGAGGCAGAGAGCCCCCATGAGAACACGCAGCCGGTGCCGGCAGGGCAGGACAGGGACGGGGCCCAACCCAACCCAGGTGAGTACCCAGCTGGAATCCAGGGCACCAAGCGAGGTCTTGGCATGGGTAGTGGGTGGTGTTTTGGGGTGCTCCCACTCCCATCCTTTAAGAGAGGAAATGCCCACACCATGCCACCTGTGCCATCATGCCACCACAGCACTGCCTGCAGGCAGTAGGCATGGGGATTGCCAGGGGTTTTCCAGCTCTCCAGTTGATATCTGTTGTCTATTGTGTCTTGCAGGCCACTGGTCCCGGCGGTGGTGCATGCCAGCGGGGCTGCTGACTATCTGCCTGCTGCTGGTGGCCACTGTGGCCCTGGGGGCTTGCTGTGAGTCAGGGGTCTGGGCACATCTGGGGCTGGGGGTGGCTGGGACAGAGAGGCAGCTGTGCTGGGGTAGGTGCTGTGGTTGAGCATGGAGTGAATAGGGGCATGCCCATGCATGCTGCTCCTGGCTGAGTCCCTCTTCCCTGTCTGCCACAAGCTGTCCTGTATCCCTCTCAGGATAGGCATCCCCCCTGCCTCCCATCACCCGCCTTCCCCACCTTGCCCTCTGTTTCTGCTCCTTTTTCTTCCCATCTTGGCATTGCCCAGCCTCATATTTCTGCACCCTGCCTGCCCCTGCCCTTCTGTACCTGATCCCGCACCCCATCCTGCCCCTGCCCTGCTCTCCCCTCCCAAGTTCTGCCCAGCCCTTAACCATACGCTTTGCTGCTGTGTCCTTCCTTCCCATCCTTTCCCATTCAACATGGACAACACCCTGCCTTGCCCTGCCCATCCTACCTGCCCCAAATGGGGTCAGTCCCACACCCAGGCTGTCCCGTGCCCATGTCTCAGATCACCCCTTCTGTCCCCAGACTGGCAGATCACCCGCAGCCTGCGGGACGCATCCCGCGACCACGCAGCCGAGCAGGGCCGCCTGTCACAGGAGCTGAGCACTCAGGAGCAGAGCCTGGAGCAGGCACGGGTGGAGCTGGCGTGGGCAAGAGAGGAGCTGCAGCGAGCGTGGCATGAGGGCAACATCAGCCAGCTGGAGCTGGATAGAATGAGCGTCGAGCTGGGGCACGTCAGGGGGGTCCTGGGCAAGACGGAGAAGGAGATGCAGGAGGTGCAGGGGAAGCTCAACAACAGCGAGAGCACCGTGGCTGTCCTGCGCTCCTGCACAGCTATAGGTAGGGTGATGATGGAACAGGGATGGGGTGTCCTGGGTGACTGGCATCCCTCAGCAGGTGCAGTGCCAAGGCATGAGCACTGGCTTTTTTTGGTCACGTGGTGGGGGCAGGGTGGTCCGAGGCTGAAGCTGTGCCTGAAGCAGAGGCTGAGCCTGTGATATCTGCTGGGAAGATGTGGGGTTGTTCCTGGTTCCCCCCAGGGCATCTGTGGCTGATCAAGCATCTGAGCTGTGCCCCTGCCCGCAGATTGCTGCCCCTCCGGCTGGCTGCTGTATAGGGGCAAGTGCCTCTTCGTCTCCTCGGAAAAGAAGACATGGGAGGACAGCAGAGATGAGTGTGAGAGAACATATTCTCAGCTCCTGATCACCAAATCCTGGACTCGCTGGACTGTGCCGGTAGGGTGCTGGGGGAGCTGAGGGCAGGAACTGGTGTATCCAGACCTGGGGTCACCAGATGGGCTAGCACTGTTCTGGAGGCCCCTGCTATGCCAAAGCATTGGAGGGTGCAAGGCTGATCTCTGGAGCACATGGCTGGTGATGGATATGGAGCAGAGGCTCTACCCCCCCTGGTTGCTGCCCAAGCTGGAGCAGGGCACCTGGGCTGCTCAGTTGTCCTGCTCCAAGAAGCTCCAGTCCCAGGGTCTCCTTGGGGAGATGATCACTCCCTGCAAACACTGCAATACATAGGTACCATGGAAAAAATGTGAAAAGGCCCTTTTTATTCTTCCCCAGACCTTCCTGAAGAATGCAGATGTCCCATATTGGATAGGACTGCAGAAGAGCGGCTTCCCCTGGTATGACTATGGCTGGCTGGAGGAAGAGGACCCAGATGGCGAGGGGCTCTCCGATGCCTGGTTCTGGGTGGATGGCTCCCTTTATGAAAGGTACCTGGCAGCACAGCCTCTTGCCAAAACTCCTCAACCCCAGCCCAACTTTAGGAGGTGTTTTAAATCCCACTAGTACCCAGTTCTGGGCACAGGCACTGGGAAACTAAGAGCATCAGAGCAGCAGGGGCTGAGGGAAGGTGGGTGCAATGGTGTGGTGAGATGCGTACATGACATGAAGATGCAAAGCGAAGACTTGGGGGTGTACATGCAGGGTATAAGAAGCAGGCAGTAGCAAAAGTGGACAAAAGAAACCGCAAGTTTTATTTGGGGTCTAGACAAGGTGTTTGAGCACCATCTCTATCCCCCACGTGCCTCCTTGATTCCTCCGGGAGAGGAAATCAAGCCTTCCCGCCCACGGAGAGTGCTCCTCCCCTCCACGTGCACCCACTTCTCAGCTTGTTGCTGCTTCCTCTTGCAGTGTCTGAGAGCAGTGGGGAGGAACAGACCCGTCTGGCCAGGTGCTGGGTACCCAGCCCCTGCTCACTGCCTGCCCCTTCACCTTCAACCCTCACCCCCCAAATGGGGGACTGCACCCAGTGTAGACCCACAGCCCAGGGCAGCTCCTCCAGCTGTCCACGTGCCCTCAGGGAGGACTGGGCTCTCCCCACCGGAGGGATGAAAAAATGTCCAGCAGTGAGGCCAAGTCAAACAGGAGGGAGCCTAAGCGGAGTCACAAGCACTGCAAACCCTTTGTAGAGGCATTTCTTAGCCTGCCTGAGGAAGGGCAGTGACCTGTCAGCTGAGCCTTCAGCCTGTGAAATCATTAGGGGAGGACTGGGGGATCCCCTATCTGACTGTAGCATCCAACCCCTCCTGTTCAAGCTACAAGAGGCAGTAATCACAGCAGGAGTTGTAGGCAGAAGGTGTCAGCCCCTGATGTGTTGCTTCCCCGTCCAGGCCATGGCAGTCAAAGTCGAATGGGTCGTGTGCCATAATAAGCCGTGGAAACATCAAACCTGCCCAGTGCACCGGCCCCAATGACCTGCACCTCTGGATCTGTGAGAAGGCAGCGGGGCCAAGCTCCCCTTTCAAATGATGATGGCTTCTGGCCCCAGTATTGCTGTGGTGAGTGTGCCCACACCAGGTTCTGCCGAGCCTGGGGTGCATGGGGCCCGTGGGGTATGCATTGAGGAAAGCAGGGAGCCTGTGTCACTGCCTGGGGCATGTTGACCCTGCCCCTTGGAGCCTACCTCCATCCCCTCACTGCCATAGAAGGCCCTGGTCTGTGGTAGTTCTAGAGGACTCCCTGAAGCTGTGGCTCAGCAAAGGGGCAAAATGGGGGAAAACCCTTTCCAAGATGCCTTTCCAGCCCTGTTGCATGTCTTGGGGGCTGGGTGACATCTCACCCTCACCCTCCTCCGCCTTCTCTTGCAGCACCTGCACCCTGCACTGCCTCTGCTCCAGCCTTGCTACGTTCCTGCCTGGGATGTTCCATCCATTCAGGCAAACTACTTCCCCCTACAGACCGCTGCCCCCCCCCCGGCTGCCCAAGTCCTCAGGGATGCCCAGTGATGCTTGGGTATCACATAGGCAGCAGTGGCTGTTTGCCCCCCAGCTGATGTGCTTCAGCAGAGCAGTGTGGGCACCACAGCCCAGCCCTACACCTGCATGGGCCACCCTGGGTCTTCCTGGCACAGAGTCTGGTGGGCAATGGGGAGCCTGGACCGGGACACAGTGGAGCAAGCCCTGATACTCAACGCTGCAGCCATGCCACATCCCCACAGCTGAGTGAGGTGCGGTGTTGGCATGCAAGGAGCAGGAGTCAGGGGCGCCACAGCCCCATGCCCAGCCAGTCCCCTCCCCGCACTACCGGACCCCATCGAAGGAGCAGCTTGGCTACAGCTTTCAGGCGACCCCGCACTCAAAAGGCTCAGCAAAGCCTCGGTGCCCAAGGAGCGAAGCTGAGCATGAACTGGCCGGCGCCTGCGCTGGCGTTTGGGGATTTTTTTTGCTGATTAGAAATTAGAGCAGTGACCTTTAGGGTTGTATGGTGTGATTGTGTGTTTCAAAGCAAAAGCAACTCAGGCACTTGCAGCAGACTGATGCTTTCCGAGACAACTCATCAGGACTTTAAATAGTTACTACACACGTGCACATGTGAAGATTAAGCAAAGTAGCCCTGATGTAATGCTGCAGCCAGGTGAGAGCAGAGGAAGTCCTGTTCAATCAGGCGAAAATGCTCTCAGTTTACAATGGGGCCATATATAGTTGATTAATTCTGTGTTAATTAGCTTGCTTGAAGAGCAAAAGGGTGTTAAAGACAGGCTTTTTGGAGGTGTCTGCTGGCTGAACCCACTCTGTAGCAATAAAGAGACATAGTTCATCTGCTCTTTGCTTTCTTGTGTGCCACCAAAAACATGGACTCAAGGGAATGAACTCAAAGAACTTAAATAATAAATAGGAATTCGACCGAAGCCATTTCAACCGAGACAGGCACATAAGGGACACTGAGATCTGGGGCTAAGCCAGGCTGGCCTGCAGTCCCCGAGGAGTTGCCCTGAAGCCCCAGGCAAGCCTGTGCAACCTTTTGGGACTGGGACCCCTTCCACATCTGATGTGCATCCAAGAGACACAAGCAGCAGCCTGAGTAGCTGGGACATTTAACCTTTATTGAACACTTTAAATAAGCTGGGTATATATTACTAGCAATTATTAATAATAATAAAAAACACAAGAGTTCTGCATTCACCAGTGCATTATGCAGGAGGGAGGAAAGCCGGCTCCCACCCTTGCCGGGGGCCTGGCAGCCTGGCCGTGCTGCCCACTGGCCCCATCCCCATGACGCCAGGATGGCACCTGGCCCCTCTGCCAGCACCCTGCCCCCAAACCTGTGTGGCAGGGAGTTGCGAGGCATTGTGCTGGCTCAGCACCCAGCCCTTGGCATTGGGCCGGCAGGGACAACCCCAGTGTTGGCAATCCTCCCCATGCACTGCCCATGGGCATTGCCCCTCTCCCGGCCCCCTGCCCACCTCTCCCCATGTCAGGGACTGGCTGTGCTCCCCATGCCTGTGGATACACATGGGTACACCCACCAGTCCCACAGGATCCCCAAATACACACATACACACGCTGACCTCTCTACCCCAACCCAGTCCCGCTCACCCACTGGGGTGCAGGGGACTCCCAGTTCTCCCAGAGGAGCAGGCTCACTATACACCCCTCTGCAAGAGCAGGCAGAGGGGTGAGCCCTTGGAGAAAGGGGGTCCTGGATCCAGGGCTTGAGCCCTGGGGCCCCGCGGGGGACCAGCCCTGCCGCTTGGGGCAGTGCTTGGGTCAGGGGTGTTATTGCACTTCAGTCCCCAGAATAGACCCAGCCCACTCCCAGGGCTTCCTGCAGAGCCCCAGGGCTGATCCTGGTGGGATGGGTGCCCAAGCGCCTGGGCAGCGCTGTGGCAGCTACAGCACAGGGCACAATGGCCGCTGCTGGTCACCAAGCACTGGGCAAGGACAGACCGTGGGGATGTGCCAGGCTCCTGCATTGCCCAGTGCTGCGGCTGCAGAGGGGTGTGAAGGGCAGCTGGATGCAGCCCCACTCCCCGGGATCCCCATCACTAGGACTGTGCCTCCGGCAGCTTCAGCCTGGGCTCAGCCAGCACTGGCGCCGGGGCTTTCTGGTGTTGGCCCCTGTCGTGGCAGAGGAGGCTCTTGGTCTCGGAGTTGAGGTTCTGGTAGCGGGGAGGGCTGGGAGCTGGCTGGTGGCAGAAGGAGGCAAAGTTGAAGCTGAAGGGACTCACGCAGCAGCCAGGGCAGGGCAGCACTTCATCCTGCTCTGGCACGGCACCAGAGCTGTGCCCAGGCAGCATGGCTGAGCGCTCCGTTTGCTCCAGTGCCACCCCACAGGTGATGCTAAGCTTGGAGGAGCCGTGCTCCAGCCCGCTGCCCCAAGCCAGAGGTTTGCTGACCATCACATGGTTGTTGTTGATGAGGAGCCTGCTGGGGGATTGTGTCTCCGGTTGCCAGGGCTCGGTGCCCAAGGACGCCGTGTGGATGAAGTTGCTGTTGGGGGGCAGCAGGGTGGGCTGTGGCAGCTCAGAGTTGTCGAGGCCGCAGGCCCTCTGCTTCTTTGCTCTGGAGCTGGGGCTGGAGGCTTGTCCCCAAGCTGGGGGAGAAAGGAGGGTGGAGGGCTGGGGGTTGTCAGTGGGATGGGGGGACACCACATCCAGCGCCAGGCCCCCATGGTGGGGTAGCTCGGGAGAGGCGGGCAGAGAGTGGCACTTGCGGGGGCTGGTGGTGGGGGCTGAGAAGTCACACTGCACCTCCACCTCCACAGTGGGCTCAGGCGTCACAGGGGTGCTGAGCTCGAGCGGGGCGGGGGGCGGCAGGTCCAAGGTGAGCGAGATGACCGACTTGCTCGGCGTATCAAAGAGCTTGATCTTTCCCCCCTTCAGGTCCTCTCGCTGGGAGAAGGGGTTGACACGGGGGGACATCTCCTTGGACCTGGCCCCACTATTAGGCTCCAGCGGCTGCAGCTGGTCAGGTGGTTTGGGGGAGAACACGTCGGACTGGCTGCGGGACAGGCGCTGGTCCAGCTGCAGGTGCTGTGTCCCCAACTCATGCAGGGGTGACTGCTTGGTGCAGCTGGCTGACATCCTGGCCACAGCTGGGCATGGGCACAGGAATGTGTCACCAGCTGCCAGCAGCTGCCCATGTAGGGTGCTACTGGGTGCTGGGCACACAACCACTCAGGGGTGCACCCTGAGGAAGGAACAGGGAACAATTCCATCCTGAACACCTCACACACCCGTCTCCTTCCTCTACAGCTGATGGGGTAGGACAGGACACCTCACATGCCCCCATTTTTGCACCCTGCTATGGCCTGTCCCCGGGGTGCCCACATACCGAGTGTGGCTGAGGTCTCAGGTGTAGGCAGGCTCTCCCCGATGCTGAAGAAGGTGGCCCCAGCACCCTCCGTGCCAAGCTGGTGCTGCAGGATGCTCTCCAGGCACTGTGTGATTTCCAGGAAGGAGGGGCGGGAGGTGGGCTTCATCTGTGAACAGGAGAGGTTCCCCATCAGGTCTGTGCCCTGCCCGAGCACTGCAGAGAGCCCTGCACAGCAAAGGCAGCTCCCTGCTCTCCCCATGAGCAGGCAAGGCAGCCTGTCCTGCCCAGCTGCCCTGGTGGGGAAGGGCCATGGAGGTGGGAATCTCACACTGCAGCAGTGAAAAGCCAGCTGGAGGAAGGCTGCTGGGCAGTCGATTCCCACCATAGTGCAGAAAGTGGTGACATCCAGACCAAAATCCTGCAACGGAGAAAGGAGGAAGAGTGAAGTTAGGTCCCCTGGGACACCACATGGCCCAGGGCACCTGAAATGGCCTGGCTCCCATCCCCATGCTGACTGTGTGCCACCCAGGGCTGTGGACCTGGAAGCACCCCAAGTGGGGCACAGCAAGGGAACACCCTGGTGTCACCCCACACTGGGGTAAGGTTGGGGGATGCTGGTACACAGATGCCTCCTGCTCTCTGCCTCAATCCAACTGTCCACTTCTCCCACCCAGGCTGACTATGGGCTCCAAGGACAGGTTACCAGCACAGACTATCCCTCCTCATCCAGCAAGTGGGACAGAGCACCTCTGCCCTGAGGTGTGGGGCAGCTCCTGCATATAGGGCTCTGCTCAACACAGGAGAGTGGCTTCTCTTGTTTGGTGAAGCAATCCCAGCCCCGGTGCTGCTGCCCACCACTCTCCCTACCCGTTACCATCCCACAGAATCACCTCAGTGCGGGGCAGGTAGTCGGGGTCAGCTGGCACACGAGCGATGGTCTCACACAGGATGATGCCGTATGCAAACACATCAACCTGCAGAGAGTGGGGAGTCACAGGAGTGCCCCATGGCCTCAATGTGCCCACCAATCTGCAAAGCCACAGCCCTCCTCCTCCCCACAGAGCCACAGCAGGGGCTCTGGAAGTCCAGTTCCTTCCCTCTAGGTGTGAAAATGTCCCCAGGGCTGCCAATTCTGCAAACCATTGGCAGCACAAGCCTGGGTAAAGCCCCACGCAAGGCAGCCACAGAGCCTCACCTTCTCATTGTAGATCTCCCCACGCAGCACCTCGGGTGCCATCCAGTACGGGGAGCCCACGATGGCCAGCGGCTCCTTCTCGCTGCCCTCACTGGGGGACATGGTAGAGTATTAGGGGCTGCATCAGTCCCCTGTCTGTCCAACCTCCTCACACTCCCACTGCTGCAGCCCAAATCACCATCTCCATCTCCCTTCCTGGACTAACCTCACAGCCCCACAAACTCATCTCTCTCCAGCCACACCACACCCTTCATCCCCTTCTAGCCCACCCCAAATGTGTCCATCTGCCCCAAAAGTCCCCACTGCTGTGGACCACCCCACTACCCCTTATCCCTATCCTTTTAACTGCATCTCAAATATCCATCCCTCCCCAGCTCCTGCTGCAAGTGGCATGGAAACCCCCCACTCCAGGGATGGGCCAGATAGGTGGATGCTTTCCACGCACCTGTAGGTGGGGATCTTCTCCGCCAAGC